CCATTTCGACTTTTCATTTTGACTTTGACCTCCAAAGTCGAAACATTTCAACTTTTGGGTTTTCATTTCGACTTCATATATAACTGTGATATAATAGAAACATTTCTGTATCACATGCATTACAGTTTTTTGTATCACCCTATTATAAATATATTATAATAATAATATTTTTAAAATTATATATAAAAACAAATATTATAATAACTTAATAGTAAGATTATAAATATATTATAATAATATATAAGATTATAATAAGATTTTAATTAATATTTATAGGTCAATATAGAATTTAGTATATGTTAACAATATTATAAATATATTTTAATAATATTATAATTATATGAAATCAACTAAATATTTTAATTATATGTTAAATATATTACTAATATATATTAATAATATTTTTAACATATTTAATAAAATCGTAATTTTCTATAAAGTTTTTGTAAGCAGATAGTTACTTTTTGTGGGTAGTTAGTTATTTCTAGTTGGTAGACAGTCACTAGAGTCATTAATCAATAAAAGTGGTAGCATAGGTATTCATGAGATCTAAACATCATAAATATATAAAGGAAGGTATTATCATTCAAAAGGTAAATAAAATGTGATGTTTTCAGATTTGCTAAATTCAAAATTTTTTAGACTTTGAGAATAGTTGAAGTATTTTCTAGAAAGAAATTCAAATGTATTTGTGAAAAGTCAAATAAGTTATCAATACATCTATCTGACTCATCAAGTATCTAAAGAGAGATATATATAGAGTAAGAGAAAGAGAATACTTTAGTAACACATTTATTGAAAAAATGACTCAATTATATAGGGTCTTTACAATAGAAAGAGGGAAAACTGCCAGAAAAAATCAATTTTACTTTATATATCAAATATGAATTTTAGACTGAAATATATTCAAATTTAGCATTAACTCATTTTTTAATTTTCCGGCAGTTTTCCCCCTTTCTATTACAAAGGTCATATAATCAAATTAATATATAATACTTACATTTTCTTTAGAACATGTATTTTTAAAATCAATTTCTATAGCCTGATAACAGAGGTTTAAATTTATTTGCTCCTCCTGTTTTTAATAACATTTAGCATTAAGAATTCATTCAAATGTTTTACTATAAGCCTGAAAATGAACTTTGATATATTTTAAAGTCCTATCTGTAGCATAGTTTGCTTCTAACTCACAAATTCACTATAATCATTTTCTTTCTGATACCTTTCTTCTAACTAAGGTTGCTTGTCTAACCTCATTTTGGATTTGGCAAAATGGTTAAACCTTTAATTTTGCTAAATTTTTATTAAGTGTTTGATATAGTTTCGCCATTTTTATAAGCTTTAATATAGTTTTACCTTTTTTCAAATTTCACAGATTTTTTAATAAGGTTTTAATATAATTTAACCAAGTTTTACTTTTACCATTTAGACGTTTATCTAAACTCTTGATTTCGTCTAGTAACCTTACTTCTAACGTATTAAATAATTCACACAATGAAAGGTTTGAGTTTCCAAAAAGTAATTTTAATATAGCATTTTCACCTTCATTGTGAGAAGTTGTTTGTATACTAGCAGTAAAATATCTATTGGTAAATATACACATCCATAATTGAGGATTGCATCCTAAAACTTTCATTAGGTAATCTTTTAATTGCATATGATTTTGTAGAAAAGCATTCTACCTTTATTGAATATATATAATAATAGACAAAACATTATAAATATAATGCAATAAACATGAAAATACAATGCCTAAACTCAATAAAAAATCTTTATTTATACAATAAAAATACAATAAAAATTTAAATTATTAAATAATGAAATAAACAATAGGTAAAATAAGAAAAATTATGTATTCAACAATAATACCTTTTATTAAACTATTCCTCTTTTAAACAGTTTCTTGCAGTATAGAAACCTTTCATAAAATCGTTAAAACCAAAACCCAACTTTCCTTTCAATTATTTCAGTAAGTTTTGGCTTATATGCTAAATACAATGCATATGAAAAGCATTGAAAAATTGTATCATAACTGCAGCATTAACTGCAGGATCGCCATCAGTTACTAAACTTTTAGTGGTATACTGGTTGCTTCTTTTACATATTGATAAACCCATTCATAGGAAAATTGTGTTTCATCATCGATAATTGCTTGAGTTATGATTTGTGTCTTTAAATTATTGTCTGAAATAACAAAGAGAAATAATAGCTGATTATACCAGTTAGTTTTGCAAGTGTTATCATGCATAATAACATCATGATAACGTAATCACAAAATTTATTATTCTAGAATTATCCAAAAAAGATAAGTTAATGAAGAAGTAACTGGGTCAAACTTTATTGAAATTACCTATCGTAAATCTTCAATTTTTTTATTATAAAGCCTTTTTAATAATAATCCAATATCTTCTTCACCTCATATTACTTCATGACAAAATTTATCGATGGCATTATAAAGATTTAGATAGTATATTCTTGTATTGAACTTTTTCCAAATAATTTGATATTGTACTGTTGCATTAACTTTAGCAACAATGGTTAAAAATTGAATTTCTTCAAAAATTTCTTCTGAAAATTTTTGTAATATTGAAGCAAATTTACTTGCTGATGGATAACATTTATGGCCAACATAATGATCATTAAATTTTGTAATTTCTAAACAACCCTTTCCTTTTTTAACCCATATATTAACTATCTATAGACATTCTACTCGACAAGATAATATATTTGATTGTGTTATTTGCTTGGATGTGGCTTTTCAGCATATTGATACAAATACTTTTGCTTTAATATTTCATTTGTTGTCTTATCCACCTTTTCATCACCACCAATTCGTATCCTGTGATCTTTAATAGGCATATCTTTTCATGAAGTTGGTAATATATTCTCAACTTTGAAAAGCTTTGCCAACAAAAATATTCATATCTTTTTCTATATCTGCAATTTCTTCAAATATACTATAAAATAAAATAGTCATTTTTATTAGATATATTTCAATTTATAATACTAAATTCTATATATTTAATTGCTTACCTATCTGTATCAGAACGGTCTTGCTGTCATACTTCTAATTTTTTATTTTAGATACTCAATTTTTTTATAATGTACAAAGTTAATTTGTTTTCTTATTATAGGAAAACAAAACTTTACGAAGATAGATTTGACGTGAGGTATTTAAAAAACCTGTTGCTACTAAATAGCAATTTTTATATTGAAATAAAAACATTAAAAAAAAGGTTAATATAATTGTTATAGAAAAGTTTCATCATTATAGAAATTGTGAATATTGTTAATGTGTAATTCTTGTGAACTACAACTGTTAGATGAAGTGTCAGATTGTTATTTCTTTTTAATTGCACAGTAATCTTAAGGCTTTTATAAAGTTATTATTATGATTAAATTCAGATAAAGGTTTATATAAGTGTTTTACAATTAATAATTCAAAAGGTATTGTGAATGAATAAAATATGATAGGACCTACGTGGCACAAATGATCGATAAATCTGACAAATATAACAAATCTGATATATCTAACATTTCTGACATGTCTGACATATATGATATATTTGACACAGGGACGATGATTTTATGCTATTACATAATATTACATTAAACGCATAATTATGCGATAAATGCATAATTCAAGTTAATCGCATCATAAAATCACATAATTAAATTATCCTTAATAGAACGCATAATCTGCAGTAAAATATATTTAATTTACTATGATCTGTAAAGTACAGGCTTATCAGTTTGATAATCTTTTTTTCTTTTACGATATCAAAAAAAACCACATCAGTTCACGTTAGATGTAGTGAATATAAAGACATTTTCTGAGTTGATGACAATATTCTCTTTTGTAATTATTGCAATGTTTCTGTGGGTTGAAAGCGCAAATCTACTGTAGATAATCATTGCAAAATTCAAAAACACATTTCTAATGTAAGAAGTCAAGAAAAAACTCAAAATAATAATACACAACTTACTCTTTCATCCACTCAAGCGGCTGCTAAAGCAAAAAAACAACTTATTGAAAACCTTATAGAAGCGTTTGCAACAGCAGACATTCCTCTTGAAAAGGTCAATTCACTACTTTTATTTTTTAAAAAATACGTTAAAAACGGTAGTTCTATTCCTCAAGCACCTACTCTTAGACAAAATTAATTACCTAATGTTTTTGACAAGCATTTTCAGTCACTTAAATTACTTTTTGATTCAAAACTAGTGGCTATAATTATGGATGAGACCACTGATGATTGTGCTTGAAGTGTTGTAAACACCCTCTTTTGTTATCACAACAAAACAAAATTAGTTTCAGTTGATTTTCTTGAGCGTGTAAATAATATCACAATGGAACAAGTTCTTACCACTATTCTTACTCATTTTAATATATCCTTCAATTTACCTCATCTATTTCTTATGAAATCGGCGGCATATATGAAAAAAGTCATTGTGAGGTTCTATCTTATTAATGCCACAATTAATACATGTATTATGTTACGCACATATTCTTAATCTGATCTGGGTATGTATAATTTATTTTTATTTATAAGGGAAAGCAAATTTCATAGCATAACATTCAATATTTTTGTATTTTTTTTATTTCAATTATTTTGTTTTTTAATTTTCAAGTTTAAGTATTTGTATAATTAATTTAATATAAAAAAAATTTTAATTAATAAAAATTAATTGGTTTTTCTTAACTATATACAAAAATTAAAGGAATATGTAGAGAACATTACCCCAATTTAATATTTTAAAGTTTTTTTTTTTGGATAAAATTAAAGAGGTTTTCGTTAATTCTTCTGTCTGAAGAGATAGATACTTGGCTTATTTGAAAATGCATAGAATTTCCTCACTATACAAAATTCCTTTATATAACAAAACACGTTGGAACTCTTGGTTTCAGATAGTTTCATATGTAAAGGATTATATTATCTATTGGCCTCTTTTTTTAATGAAGAATTTAATAATGATAAAAAGTACAACAACACTTTGGCTGCTACTTGGAAAATAAACGAGAATTAGGAATAATCACAATCCACCTTAATTTCATTTCTTTTTATGCTAAAGAATTCATTCAAGATCTTGATTTTTTTCAACAATTAAAAAAACCTGTTTTTCCTTTTGTAGAATTACGCCTTCAACAACTTACTGCATATATTGAAACATATAGGAATTCTAATGATTTTGGTCTTTCTTTAGACAATTTAATTACTAGTTTCTATTTTAATACACATGAATTTTATTTTATTTTTCGAGCAGCATTTGAGGCAGCTTATGTTAAGTTGCTGTACACATTCCTAATCATCCAACTCAGCCACTTTTCTATGCATACCAAGTATTTGATCCTAAATTTATTCATTCTGGGAATGCTTTACGAAAAAATATTTGACAATATAATAGAATTAAAGAATTTGATAATCCATCAAATGAATTATTATGAGAGTGGAGAATTTACTATGGATTAGATAATAAATTTTTGGGTGAAATGAAATTGGATCAATATTGGGAAGATAAGGAATGCAATTGCCAATCCATTCCAATACCACAATGGATTATATTTGGTTACTAATTTCAAGTTGTTCTGTGAAAAGAAGCTTTTTAATGTATAATTCTCTTTTAAACAGTGATTGTCAAACTTGTCTCAAGATTCTCTTAAAAAATTAAATATTATATTTTAATGGTGTTAAAATTTAAATAAAAATAAATGAAATTTTAATTACAAATACTAATATTTTTTATTTATAATAGCTTAAATGCTTGATTTATATAATTTAATAACACAATTTTTCAATTTTTACTATAATAAAGTTATGCATAATTTTACATAATTATAAAGTTTTGCACATAATCCATTCATAATTGTAAAAAAAATGCACACTTTAAAATGCATATTTGGCTTTTGTTGCATACATAATTCATGATTTATTGTCACATAAAATCATCATCCCTGATCTGACATGATCGACAAATAAGATATATTAGACAGATTTGATATATATGATATATCGGACATATTTGACATATATGATATATTAGACATACAGTCAACTCTTTCTACAGCGAATTTTGATATAACGAATTTTACAATACAACGGATTTTCAGTGTCGGACAGAT